ACTTTGCGTAGAAGGAAGATTTGTTTGGTATTCTCTTTTTCGCTAATCTGGGTTGCAAGTAAGTTTTACTTGACCCCGTATCTTTTAAAAACTTAAGTGGTTCTCCACTTATTTTATTTCGTATGACGCTAATTATTCCATAGTATTTGGGAGTGCCTTTAAGAGGCTCATAAATTCGGAGTATTCCATCTACTCCTACCATACTTTGAAGTAAAAGCAAAGAGCTTATTAAGCTAAAAAATGAACATCTGTAGGGTCTTCTAATGTCTCAGAATTGAAATATATAGCTGAATTCTATGATGAGGCGGCATCATTTTGAACTAGTTCGGGATGAATGAAATGGTTCAAATGTATCCTTTTATGTGTTGGTCGTTATTTATTTATTTATTTATAAAACGTGAAACAATAATACAATTACTTTTCCACGAAAAAAGGAGCACTGGCTGCCAGGACCTTCGGCTCGCTGATGTAAATATAAAATGTATAGTTATTGCTTAATTAAGTCTTAGGTGTAAAGTTAATAAAATGTTCTGTAGCTAATAGAAGAGTTTTAAGAACAAAATAAAAACTAAGTAATGGGAAATTTAAAAACATAATCATATTTGTGGTTTTAATCCTGTTTGTACTAAGATGGTCGTTATTTTGTTGAGGTCTTTTGGCAACTGAGTCATTCCTTTGTGGCCTATTCATATAATTTACCCGTCGGGAGTGCATGGACTGGTCAACGTCCATCGGCTCCGGCTTGGGTTGCGGTTTAGGTCCGAATGGACGTGGTGGTGCAACTTGTTGCGGATAGGATCTAGGCTTATTGCTATTTGCTTATTGTGGGTAACTTTCTTGTCTCCTAGGTAAATAGGTTAGTTCCGGATAAAATATTGGTTTATTGTATCTCTTGTGCGGAACCAGTGGTGTGTAATTAGTAAGGTTCCTCGTAGCCCATTGTGGGTAACTTTCTTGTGGCCTAGGTAAATAAGTTAGTTCCGGATAAATGATTGGTTTATTGTATCTCTCGTGCGAAACGGGTGGTGCGTAATTAGTAAGGTTCCTCGTAGCTCCTTGCGTATTGTGAGAATAGTGAGAACGGTAATTCTGATTTTCTAATTTAAGGCACAGATGGAGTGCCTGAGGCAAATCTGCTGGTTCCCTCATACTTAGCAAGCGAGGTAAGTCGCCCTCAGTCCCCTAACGAAGGTGTCTAAAGCTTTGTCTCGGTACGTCTGCGTTAGTAGATTCATTGATTCCTGTCCTACGTCCATACAACCTAATTTATTTAGAATCAATGATAGGTGTGTATAGACTTTCTGATATAACTCTTGAACCGAGTTAGGACCTTGGATTAAGGATTAAGGATCATCTGAAGTTCTTAGGTCTCGTTTATCAGCATAGTGAAGAGTTAAGCATTTGGAAATAGCTTTCCAATCTAATATGGTATTGTAGGACTCAAGAACTATGTCCGCGTTCCCTATTATTTTATTTCGTATGACGCTAATTATTCCATAGTATTTGGGARTGCCTTTAAGAGGCTCATAAATTTGGAGTATCCGATCTACTCCTTTCTTCCAAGAGGGAAACTACCCTGGGTTTCCGGAAAATTCGCGCAGACAACGGACAATGTCTGGTATTTTATCCAGGTCGGTTAGATTGTTTCTGTAGGCTGGATCAATTGACTGATCCGAAAACTCTTCCATACTGGCATTTGGGTTCAACACGACTTGAACGACTTGTTTGCCGTGTTGTTGGAATAAGTTTCTAACAACGTTTGTAACAGTAGCAGTTAATTTTTCTGCTGCTATGGTGTGCACCTGTGCGGTGTCTTGAGTGCTAGCGGCTGCATTTTACAGAACCGGTGGGCGTATTAAATTATTCGGATTTGACATTTTTCTATTTAGACATTGTTTTATTTTCTTTAGAATATGATATATTTTTATATTGCTTTATTTATGTTATTAATCTCTGGAGGGTCCCTTTTGCAGGAAAACCGCAAAGTTATTTTACTGTTATAAGAATCAGAGGGTCCCCCGTTAGGTGGTGAATCGCGGCCTTTTTAAATATTAAACGTTATTGGCTGTACGAGCCCTTGTTTATTTGGCTTTCTGGTTTATAATTCGCCGGARGATCCCTTTGGTGGTGAATCGCAGAGAATTTAATTTGCCATAAGGCGGAGAGTCCCCCCGAAGGTGGTGAATTGCAGCTTTTATATTATTATTTATTATTGGCTGTATAAGCCTTTCTTTCTAAAAATTTTCCCTCCGAACTAAACTGACTGAGTTTTTCTTTTTTATGATTTCTTGTCAATAAAAATTTTCCCTATTTTATTACAGATTTTCACTTTTAATCTTATCACCACTTTGTAAACACAGTTCTATCTATACATATAGATAATTCTTAAGAGTAAGTCGATTTCCCCTTTTCTCCTTTCCGCTTGCTTCGGATCGTCCTTCTGCACACTATATTATACACCTCCTCGTCCAAGGGTGGGTTGAGGATAGATGATTTCTGTTTGCCTTAGTAACCGGCTTCTAGCTTCGAAAGGGTTTTTATTATTCACTCGCTTGTGACTACTTATGGTCACTTACGTTCTTTCGATTTTCGCGACTGGTCCCTGCTTGGGCGCCAGTTTTCTCCCTACGCACTGGGAGGATTAAAAACAAACAATTTTTGTTTTTGGATACGAGCTCCGTTCTGTATTTGATGCAACGAAAATACCAAAAACCTTATCTTAATTGTTACTTCTATTTATACAATATTTTATAACTTAGTTCTATATTATATGTTGTTTTAGTTTTGTCACCTGAGCTGCGCTGTCACTTCTTGCTGATAAGCAAAAGGTCGTCAGCGGAAGTGCATTTCCGCAAGTGCACTCATTTTAGTGGAGTTGGCGATTTCGTAATAAAGGTTATGTTTTCGTTTAGTCAGCTCAGCAAAGTTGTTCTCTATCGCTGATTTGAAGACAAACGGTTCGCTTTGTGTACATTAACCGAACTGACAGATTCAGACAAAGTAACGGATCAGTACTTAAGTAGAAACAAAAATTTAGTACTAGTTGCAGTTCTCTGCTACATWCCGTGTCACAAGTCAGTTCACTCAGGCAGAGAAGTTAAAATATAGAGAAGGTGCAAATTGAAGTCTGTATGATGGTTCGATTCACCATTTTTGCTGCTATTTAACAGAAATGAGCAGGTTCTTTGGCAGAAATATATGTAAAACGACTGATCTCATGCGATAATGATTAAAGAGAAATGCTTTAAAGAAAAAATATACAAAGTCACATGAGTGATTATTTTGTATCATATGAATAATTTTTTTTTTTTGAAAAATGTTAAAAATATAATTTTTTTAGAAAATCGGGAAAAGTTAATTAAAAAAATAATTTTAAGTAAATTATTATTTCAAAAAATTATATTTATTTCAACTATAACAAAATGAAGATGTGCCAAATGAACTTAAATGTGCTCATATAAACACGTCTTGCGTCATTCCTTTCATTTCTTCAAAAAAATTATTGACCGCCATGAAATATGCATATTCGCACTATTTCGTTATCATTTCCATATATGTATGTATGTATGTGATTTCTTTGGCACATTTCATAAGGGAATAACAAGTGCCGTACGTATCTCGTTGTCACAGACAACCAATGGCCGAAACACACGTTTTGTCAAAGAGGCAATCTATCGAAACACTGACGCGACGACAAAGCGCCACAACTTTGTGTTGTTGGTAGAAAATCCGAGCTGTGTCGAAAGAAACTAACAAACGATCGCCGATTCTTACCGCTTCCCTTGCTGCTCGAGCAGCTTCGCCAACAAGGTAGCAAAAATATGTGTGTTTGCCACTTTTGTCACTGCGTGTTTTTTGTGCTTTGCGAGTTTGCATTTGTTCAATCAGTGAATGTAAAAATGCTTTAATAGTTACACACAAGTGATCGTTTCCAACTAATGTTTATCAAAGTACAAGTAGAGCATAAAAAACACATCTATAAAGTGTGATACGTCATTCGTATGCGGTGATTGGCATTATGGCATACGATATGTTGTATTTTCAATTCACAATARTTTTTAAATTTCCMATTGCTTTGGATCGTATTTTTAGGTCACAATAGATGTGGAACTGCCAAAACTGTTGCAAAACTTTCAGTAAACTAACAAAAGCTAATTAAATATTAAAATTAATCGAATTTTGTTTTTTTATTTGATCTCTAGTGAAAGAGATAAGGATTAATAATGCAGAGATAGCTAAGATCATATCAATAGTGTAGGTATAAAAAAAAAAAACAAATTATGAATCTTAATTAACAAAATTTCCTTTGTAGATGTATCGTTGAAAAAAGCATAGGAATCTTAAAAAGATGGTGCAGAATTTTGGGATATGGCAAGAGAGGAAGGTATCATCCCACAAAAATGGAAGATTTGCTAAAGTTTGTTCTGCATTACATAACACCAGTATACAATTTAAAATAAGTTATTATCCTCAAAATTGCGATTCTCATCACACTCAAGAAACAGATGACCTTGTAAATAATTTTATTTTTGATGTAAACTAAAATACAAAAATTTTATGCATATAAATATTTTTAATTTTTAATGAGATATTCGATTCATTAATTTCTTGTTTATGTTCTTTATTACCAACAATTATAAAAAACATATAAATTAAAAAAACATTGTATATACTCGTTCACGTATGTCATCATGCCAGATTACGAAAGAAACGTTACGAAAATTTTAAGTGACGAGTGATACGTTCAAGATGTAACGATTCGACCCCTGTATATTTGGTAACGGGAAGAGAGAAACTCACCCACACAAACTCTAATTTATGGTTGTCCGCGAGGAGAGCTTTCACTGTATTTCATTCTTAACATAGTTATCATGTCATGTAAATAGTTAGCAAATGTATACCTTAACTTAAGTAAGTCTGGGTCTAATGTGAACGAAGTTCAAAAAGTATTTGGCTAACTTAATTAGATATAAAATCTATTATATTTTTAACTTGCTTACCTGTCATAACAGCGAGTGCACATAAACAGACGAAAGAAGTAATATCCATCTCTAAGTTTTTTAATTGTTTACTAAACTCCAAAATGTTAAAGAGCCAATCTCCAAAAACTCTTTCACATTGAGTCTTATGCATTATCATACCATTACAAAAAGTTATATTCGAATCGTTGGAGTTGGTACGATATGATAATCTCAAAACAAACATTTCTAATGAAGCTGATTGAAAAAGCAATTCCTGATCGGCTTCGCACAATTCACTGAAGCCGGGTATTTTATAAATAAACTGTTCAATCCTTTTTACTGAGCTGTTCAATATTAGGTAAAATTTTCGAACATTTTCTGATTCTCTTACGATAAGAGGCGAGTTTATATATGTAGGTTCTGAATATGTTGCATAGTCCAAACAAGATATATCGGGTGTTGTATCCTTATGACTATTAACTAGTGTTGATATTAATGATAAATTGTGATATATGCCAAAATAGTCATTGTCTTTCTGTTTCGTTGGTAGTCTTCCGCGACGTCCTCTAAGTGAATCGGTTCGAACTACCTCCTTTACCATGCCTACTTCCAGACATTTCTGGAAGCGACAAAACTGGCATCTATTACGCCGACGTCTATCAACAGGACATGACTGATTCGATAGACAAACATATTTTGATTTTTTTTGGACTGTTCGTTTAAAAAATCCCTTACACCCCTCACAGGTTCTTACACCATAGTGCTGACAAACCGCTATGTCTCCACACACTGCACATTCTTGCAATGATTCTTGGCTGATTGTACGAGAGCGTTTTTCTATATTCTTATTGAAGGAAGATGCAAGTGAAGAGGAGTATTTACATATATTTTGAATTTGTGACATTTATTTTTGATTGTTTATATAAGAAGACAGCAGTTTATTTTACAGCAACCCGGTACTTGTAATATATTATATGTAATTACGGATACCCTTTGCAGATGCCAAATATATACAAATTATGCAATAGTCACGACGTTGTTGTTCGTATATAAATACTACTTTCCAAAGAAGTAATGTGGGGTATGCGTTAATCCAGATAACACACTTACATGTACATTTTCTGTAAAAAATAAGAGAATTCTTTGAAAATAATTGATTAATATTATAAAACTTAGTTAAAATAAATGTTATGCGTTGTATTTGCAATCGATTCATTACACACTAAATAAGTTAATTATATCCCCCCTATCTTTGGGTATTGGTGCTATGAAAAAAAGTACATGTAAAGGAAACAACGAAGTTTACTAGTCGAATACGATACAAAAGAGTATACAGAGGACTTCATCAAAGTTTTTTTACCACTTCCTTTACTGATACCAAATTTTTAACAGATTCTTGTAAACGCTTTTAGAAGAGAGAGTTGATCCCCAGGCGAAACTTCATTCCGCACACAAAATTTAATCGGCCTTCTTTCTTCAATAAATTCAGACATACGTAGTAAAAATCGTAGAATTGACTTTTGGAGCCTCACAAAATGACTCGTATCTAAAATACTAGCGAATATTTTGACATGAAATTCAGTCTTACAGTACTACCAACTTACAGAAAAAAATTTACCGGTTCGAAAAACACGCGAAGTATAAATTAAAAATTCACCTTTTAATATGATCAAAGTAGTACAACTGAGTGGCTCAAATTATTATCGTCAAAATGACATTACATTTATAAATTACTGTCAAAATGGCTTAAGAAATAATTATTAACAAATAGAAAAGAGAAAGTTCGAGCATAACCGAATATTTAATACTCCCACATTTTTAAAAGATTAAAGGCGAGGAAATGATGTGAAATAATTCATTATGCAATATGCGAAGAAACCGAATGAATTATAATTAAATTTGATATTTCTCAACTTACATATGTACACATTATTTTAATTCGTTTCATGACTATTCACGTAAAACATATGTGATATAAGCTCAATCAAAGGCGCTAAATTTAATATATGGTGTAATAATTTACATCAATCAAAGGATGGGAAATCCCAATTTCATTTTCAAGTAATGAAAATCATTATGCAGATATCGGGTTATGTATACATAATAATCAGGATGACGAGAAAAGTTGAAGACCGATTGACTGTCTGTCTCTCCGTCCGCCCGTGCAAACTGCAACTTAAATAAAAATTCAGATATCTTGATTAAGCTTGGTATTCCTTGGTTTTCCTAGTACCAAACAAATAACGATTTCGTAGATGGACGTAATCGGACGACTGTCACGCCGACAAAAAGGAACTCTATAAACTGCCATAACTAAGCGCCAAATTAAGATATAAAGGTGTAATTTGGGGCACTGGCAATGAGCACTTGTGGGAAACAAATTTTGAAAAATTGGGAGTGGTCCCGCCTTCTAATATGTTTAAAGTCTATATCTCCGAAACCACTTATGCTACAATAACCAAATTTGCTTTTCGTCCATTCGGACAACATGACCTAGCCCTGCCGTCTTTTAATTCGCTGAACTATGTCAATGTCATCATATATCTCGTACAGCTCATCGTTCCATATAATGCGATATTCGCCATGGCCAACCCAAAATTGACCATAAATCTTTCGCAGAACTTTTCTCTCGAAAACTCGCAATGTCGACTCATAAGTTGTTGACATAGTCCAAGCCTCTGCACTATATAGCAGGACGGTAAGTGTGAGTGACTTATACAGTTTGGTTTTTGATTGTCGAGAGAAGACTTTGCTTCCTAATTGAATACTCAGTCCGAAATAGCACCTGTTGGCACGATTTTATGCTAGTTCCAAGATAAACGAAATTATATTCGACTTGTCCAGTCGGTAGAACCTTATATGCGATGTTGAGGAAGCTAATCCCAAGGGAGTTGGCGCAGATTGTGGGGATTGGGCATAGCACACTTAAATTCCAATCGTTGGGTATGCTTTCGTCCGACCATATTTTACAAAGAAGYTRATGCATGCTCCTTATCAGTTCTTTGCCGCCGTGTTTGAATAGCTCGGCCGGCAATACATCGGCCCCCGCCGCTTTGTTGTTCTTCAGGCGGGTCATTGCTATTCGCACTTCTTCGTGGTCGGGAAATGGAACGTCTTCTCCATCGTCAACGATTGGTAAGTGTGCTCCCAACACTCAAAAGCATCTTTGGTCACATCGTCCTTCTCATCCGTCCGGGCGTGGGCGCAAATCAGCGATATGTTGAAGAACCTCGGTTTGATGCGGATTGTGGCTAGACGTTCATTCACCGTAGTGAATGATAGCACTCGACGACGGAGTCACTCTCCCACCACGAATCCCACACCAAACTTGCGCTCCTTTATATGGCCACTGCAGTAAATGCCACAAGGACATACTCCTCTCTGTCCTTGTCCCGTCCATCGCATTTCGTGGAGTGCGGTGATGTCAGCCTTTATTTTCACGAGGACAACAACCAGTTGGGCAGCGGAAACTTCCCAATTAAGGGACCGGACATTCCAGATGCATTCCCTTAATTCGTAGTTCTTATTTCGTTTGCCATAGTCGTCATCAAAAGGGGAGTCTCTCTTCCGAGGCTGTTGCAAATTTTTCATTGGGGGTGTTTCTTTACGTGCCGGGTCCCAAATCCAGCGAACACCCTATGTAGGATGTTCTTAGGCTACCCAGAGGATACTTTTTCAAAGACGGGAAGTCGTGAGCTGCTTGAGTCATATGTAAAAGAATTGTTTCTGGCCACTCCCAAGTGAATGGCGATCAGAGAACTTTCCTCACTTGCGTGAACTTCTGCACATGGCTCTATCCTCCACTCCATTCTCTATTATATATTACAGTGTGAAAATGGGCGAAATCGGAACGAAACCTCGCACACGCAAAGTACATAAATCACGAAATATTTAATATAAGGGGATATAATTTATTGTTTTTGAATGGACTCTAACTTATCCGAAATGACTTGGTAACTAGGGTTCCAAACCACAGAAGCGGCCTCACTAGAGATGTAAAAAGGATTTTTGTTTTGTTTTGTTTTCGGATCTCTAAGTTCTTTGTGTTAACACTTAACAAAATTAAGAGCGCCTTTAGCTTTAAAATCCGTGAAAGATGCGTGAAAATTAAAATCGAGTTTGAGGTCTATAGTTACTCCCAGATCAACGTACATACGTGCTCCAACCTAAAGTTTTGTATTGCGTAGGAAGTAGGGTCTACAGATCTATGTGAAAAATACATCGTTTTACATTTTTTAAGGTTCAATGGTATGTCATTTCTATCAACCAATAAACTAGGTTGTTTAATGCCTTGTTTTCATTAGGTCAAAATAATTGACATCAAAAACTGCATAAACGAACAGCTGCGCTTTTGGTGTCAAATGCGTTTCATTACAACATCAAAACTGACCGAATGTCGATATTGCAGTGCCTTTCAAAAACTGTCGTCAATTTTTGGTGTCAGAGGATTGACCAGGTGTTTTCATTTATGTCAATTTTGAACAGTCAATTTTGACAGCTGTTAAATTGAAAATATAATTACTTTTAAATAAGTGCGTGAAAGTGTAAAAATGAATAAAAATAGAAAAATTGCAATAGTAACTGCGGCGTTATGGCTTATGACGTCATTAAAAATTTGGACGTGAATCTGATGGAGGCGTTTTCGCAAGGTAAAACTATTACAAAATAATAACATTAAAAGTTAATAATTAAAATATCTCACTAATTTAACAAATTCAGATGTGCTCTTTCAATGGCTCTTGCAGAAAACAAATTAAATTTTCCGCCGTAGAAACCACTTCCACATGAACGTGATGAAATGCCATTTGTCATTGTAGCTGACAACGCTTTTCCCTTAAAAACGTACTTGATGAAACCATTTAGCTTCCGAAATCAAGTTATGTCGTACAAAATATTTAATTAGAATGTAGCCAGAAATGTTGTGGAAAGTGTGTTCGGCATATGTGCATCACGTTTTCGAATCTATAGTTATTGTTCTCGCGATTTGCATAWTGCATAATTATGTGTTAAGACGCAAATCTATATATATGTATACGATTATCTGATGTAGACAAAGATACAAATGGCTTTACTGATCCAGGTAATTAGCGAATGGAGTAGGGAGAAAATGGAATGCTTCCATCAGTTCGGCCAAGCAGTATTTTAGGTAGACCAGCAGACAGCGCGGTAAATATCCGGAAAAGTTTTATGGAGTATTTCATGACTCCTCATGGAGAGGTTGAATGGCATTATATAGGACGATATTGCATAATTCGTCTTTCTAGTACTTTCCTCTTTTATAAATATGTAATTCTATAATTTAAGTTATTTTGCAAATACAAAATATTTTCTTGTTCCTTTTATTTAATCTTTCTCAAATTTAAATAAAA